GAACTAAATTCAGAAATTTTAAATCTTCAAATATTTATTGCCTACCCTTTCTATTTTGAGAATTCTAATTATATGAATATAAGTTTCTTGGTTTTGACACAGTGAACTATTACGACTGATCTGTAAATTCTTCATTTTTATTTTGGACAGTTTTTATTGTATATTCAGTTATGTTTGTAAATAATTTATTTTAATTTGCAATCTATTAAAAAATAAATAAAATAAAAATAAAAGATAATTTTTAAAAAAGAAAAGAAAAGAAAGAGGAAACCCCAAGGGAGAGAGCAGGAGTGACGGGCAGGCAGGGCTTCTGGGAGCAGCTCACCCAAGCCACCAAGCCTCTGCACCTGGGGGCTCACAGGGCCTCACTACTGACTACAACCCCATGGGCCAGATAGCGGTTGCTCGTTCTGAGACTGGGGCCCTGGGCACAGCCCCCCAGGCAGGCTTTACCTTAGAAGCCTGCACTCCCTAGGCTAGGTGTTACCTAGGCTGAGGTGGAATTTTCCTGGGGTGCTACCATTGTGCAGTTTAGGGAGCGTTTTCTAAGATGAGGAGTTACTGAGAGAGAAAAATGTAGCTGAAATGAAAGGTGGAGAGAGGGCAGCTGCTAGCCAGGCGGGCAGGCCGCCTCCCTGCGCTGTGGCTGGCCGGCAGCTGCGGCCTGCCTGGGGCTCCCCCAGATCAGCGCATGCAGGCGTTCACAGTGGCGCCTCCCCACTCCGCTTTTAAGATGTGGGTGCGCTTCCTCCTCCCACCTCCTCCCTCCCAGGCCGCCCCACAGGGCTCTGCAGCGAGCGCGCTGCGCCCTCCACAGACTGCTGCTTCCGGGCCCTCTCGCTGCTGCTCCTCTGCCGGCCTTCCTTGCCCGGAAGCACCAAGCCGAGCGCCCCCTTCCTGGCAGGCACCGCCCCCGGCTTGCTCAGGGCCCCGCGTCACGCTTTCCCACGCAGCTTAACTGCGCGCTTGTGCCCAGCTGCGCGGAACTGCTAAGTGCCGAACTTTCCAAGAGCCTGCAGGAAAACGCAATGCGCTTTCCACGCCGGCTGCGGCTGCAGCACCGTGACAAACACCTCGCTGCCTGAGAAGAAGCGCAGACACAAGGTGCAGCCCCGAGGGCGCTCCAGGCGGCCCGGTTCACACGCTGTTCACTTACCTTTGCTTTTCGGTCCTCATTTCCAGTCCCGTCTTTGCCTTTGCTGATGCGAGCTGATAAAATATAAAAGGAGAAGCACTTTACACCTCACTTTCGCGGCTTAGGGGACAGGCGTGCAGGTCTGCCCTGGCGCTCAGGATGGGAGCTGCGCGGATTTGGTGGGGCCTGGACGAGCCGCAGTTCCCACCGATCTGCTGGGTCGCATTCTGTTAGCACCGACACAGACAGCACAGCCACCATGGGGGTGACACCATGAGGGCAGCGGACAGGGCGGAGGGTGGGGGCTGCAGCAGAGACACTGAGGATCTGTTAGGGGCACGCATGGCCACACTGCTGCCAAGGGAAGGTAGCGTGACTTGCACCCCCAGTCCCCTCCCTGTCCCCGCCAGAGCCAAACCCAGTCTCAGGAGTACGCAGAAGCCTCAAGGGTCACGGAGCTCAGCGTCCCTGGGTCCGGCTGGAGCCTACGACTGACCATGTGGGCGGTGGTCTGCACGCTGTGGCTGGGAGGCCTGCCCCTGGCTGCCTGTGCAGTGGTGTCCCCTGGAGCCCAGAAGTCTGACAGGGACCACCTCTGAGTCACCAGCTCTCAGGGCCCACCTTGCTGCGAGCCCTCCCCCTCAGTTCTCTTTCCCTGTTCCCAGCCACGTGCTCCAGAACTGGGCGGGCCAGGTGATGTCTCCAATCCGCACAGCCAGCGGCGCCCTCAGAGCCTGCCTCCACCCGTGGGGCCCTTGGTCAACAGTACTGCCACTTTGAGACAGGTCCACCCCACCCGGACCCGCCCTGCGCGTCTTCCCACTACCAGGAGCTCTGATCCTTCTGTTGCCCAAATCAGCTTCCAGTGAGTTCCCGTCAGATATCCCGCAGACAGCAGGGTTTCAGGGCAGATGCTGTGGACAGCAGCCAGGGAGAAGGGCAGTGCGGGGCCTGAGGACACAGCCCCACCCCGCTGACTCCACCTTGCTTCCCTGGCTTCAGGATCTGGGCCCTCTGCCCTAGGACAGCAGCACGCCCGTTAGGCCCCGGGCTTCCAGCTCCTGAGTGGCAGGATCACCTGGAGCGCTGCTCGGGCAGATGCCAGGCTCGCTGAGCCCAGCGCGGGCGCCAGAAGCAGAAGCTCCTCCCTTTGCTCCGAGCCACAGCACCACTGTGTCGCAGAGCAGCCCTGAGGTGACCATTTCCCACAGTAGGGCTCTTCCCAGAGACATGGCTTGAGCGGCTCACACTTGGGCTCCGCCCACCTCAGGACCGAGGTCCGCCATTCCAGGCGTATCTCCATGTCCCGCTCCTGCAAGTAATTCTAAAATGAGAATATTCTGACTCTACATAAACCTGAAGGGCTGCTATGGCTGAGCTCCAAGCGGGTAGTGCAGAGCCTTGTGACCGCAGCACAGGGCCACCCTGGGGCTCTCCAGGGAGGGGGCACCTGGACCTGGAGGGCCTTGTGTGTGCTTCTTTTCTCTCCTGATGCAGGTGGGACAGAGTGTGGGCAGGGCTGCGGGCCAAGGGCGCCTCCTGGGCTCCTGGCTACCTCCAGGTGCAGTCTGGGTGTTGGGACAGGTAGGTGGTCTCTGCACTCTGTGTAGAGGGGGGCGCGGGAAGAGCATCCTTCAAAGCAGACCTAGCTGGATGCGGATCTGGCTCTGTCACTTCCTATAGATGACCCTCAGCAAGCTCTTTACCCCTCTGAGCTGCACTCTCCTCATCTGCAAAATGGGCCTAATTTTGCCTGCTTAGAGGTGCTGGAAGAGTGAGGCTCAGCTGTTACCTTCCCTGTGAAGTGTGCTGACCACCTTCCTGTGGGAAGACTGCCCAGGCCTGACGTGTCAGGTGCGCACTCAGACAGGGCCAAAGCACTGGGTGGGTGGGGCGACATGCAGAACGTGGGCAAGCAAGGAGCAGGTGCTGCAGGTCTGGTGCAGGGGCCGAGGACAGGGAGCAGCTGTGGCCCGGGGCTGGTTTAGTAGCTGTCCTGGACCTAGCAGGTGGCAGGAGTCAAGGAGGGCCGGAAGCTCAGTGGCAGTGCCTGTAGCCTGGATGACACAGGAGGGTGCCAGGGATGAGTGAGGGCACGAACACAGACCTTTGAGTTGAGGGACCCGGCTGGCAGGCCTCCCTGGCAGACCAGCTGCAGGTTGCTTCTCGGGGGGCTCTGAAGGGCCGGCCTCCCTCATGGCCTCTCCCACAGCGGGGCCCAGGGCCTCTCGCTCTTCTCTTGGGGCTCTTGGAAGTCCAGCTCTGTCCAAGTCCAGCTCTGCACGTGCCTGCTCCTTCTGCACGTTGGCTTTTATCTCCACGTGGAATGTGAACTCAGGAACACGCTCCAGCCCATCCACTGTGGGCCCTGTGCCAGGCCCACCTGCTGGCGAGGGCAGGGTCTCCGTGGAAACTTTGGATAGGAGATCGACAGGGAGTGGGATGGCACCCTCCACCGGGAACATAGGAACACCAGCAGCTTCTCTGGAGTCTGCATGAGGAGGTGGCCCGCAGGGGGCGGGGGAGACCTCGGAAGGTGGCGCGTCTTGAGGTGAGGACTCATCGATGTCACGGTCTTCGTCCACGCCCTGGCCCCCCAGCCTTTCCTTGCCCTGGGCTCCCTTCGGAGGGGGGCCCTGCTGGTCCTGGTTTCCCAAACCCTGGTGTTTCTGCAGCTCAGAGCCGTGGTGGCTTCTATCCAGGTCCTCGGGTTCCTTCCCCAAAGCGTGAGGTGCGGCTTCTGCGGCGCCTTCAGGCAGGAGGGCGCCCCTGGGCACATGGGGCGCGTGTGGGAGGGTGAGCCCCGGGACCCCGGTGCCTGCGGCCTCGCCTCTAGCGCCCCCTGGCGCCCTGAGCAAGCTTTCTGGGACACCCTTGACTCTCTCCAGCTCCGCGTGGAGATGTCCAGGGAAGTGGAGCGTTGAGGTGACTCGGGCCTCCTTGTCTCGGTCCCCACGCTCTGGTCCCCACTCCTGAGTAAGTGTCTGAGGGCCTCCTGGCAGGCCAGGCGCGGGCTGGGCGGGAGGCTGCAGAGGACGAGCAACTTCCGGAACTGGTGCTTCTGACTGTTTTTCACCCAGAGGCAGCGCTGAGGTCCCAGAAACTTCTCTGCTGTGTCTAGGCTGGACTCGAACGCTACGCTCCTCGGCCAGGGGCCTCTCATGTGCCTCCCTCTGCTGGCCTGGAACTCTTACCTCTTCTGGGTTTGGAGAGGAGCAGTGGCAGAAGGTTAGCAAGGTGCAGGAATTGCGTAATGAGGGGCACCATTCTTGCCACCAGAAAAGGACCCCAAGGCACCCCTCTAACAGAGGCAGACCGCAGCCCTGGGCTCACTGTGCTGCTGCTGCTGCTTGCAGTGGGTGCTGTCTCGGCCTCTGCCACCGCCTTGCTGGGGCTCTGGTGAGGACCTGCCCTCTCAGGCCCTCGGGGAAGGCTGGGCCTGGGGGACCTCCAAGCCCCTTCGGGTGCAGCACTACCTCTCTGCCTACTGACAGGCTCTTGCCAGGAAGGGAGCTCACCAGTATCACTGGGGCCTTCCTGCCTCAATGCCCTGGGCCACAGAAGGCTTCCCCCTCCCAAGGGAACTCAAATCTGAAAAGCCTGGCCTCTCAGTAGAACCTGGCTGGGGCGCAGCAAAGTTCCCTTTCTTCTCTTTTTTTTTTTTTTTTTTTTGGTGGAACTGGGGATTGAACACAGGCCCTTGCGCTTGCCAGGCTGAGCTATCTCCCCGGCCCCTCCAGCTCCCCTCTAACCAAATCTATAATCCCAAAGGTTCCAGAAACTCAGAAAAGGAGATTTGGATGCAATCAGAGAAGGAAAGAAGGCAGGCGGCTGCACACGGCACGCAGTGCTGAGTATGCCGCCGCCTAGAGGCCAGAAGGGGCAGTCCGGCAAAATTCCAGACAGCGCCGCTGGTCCCACTAAAGGGTGGATCCATTTCCTGACTTTCTGGAGAGAGGAACAGCATCTTCCCAAGTCTTCTGCAATTTTCGATTATACAACAGACTTTCAAGTTAGCCAGCAAACAAACCCATCCCAGAGGTCTCCAATTCCTAAGAATCTCTAGGATTTTTAAATCGAGTTCTTAAAGTATTTACAACAAATGATTGTAGAAAGTTACCCTTCTAGAATACAAACCTTTGGTTCCTAAGAAGGTTACGGTTAGTTTGAAGGCTGCCCAGAGAGAGTTCATGTGTAAAAGCTGGGTTGAGATGAGGCTGCAGTTTTTCTGCTGGGTCACCCAGAAAGCAGCCCGCAACAGTGCCACCCAGGCTCTGTCCTTCTGTGGGACACTGGTCCGCAGGAAGGACTCAGAAATGGCATCAGAAAGACCCAGCAGGGGTCTTCCCACACGCAAGGGGCCCACATCTGCCCAGAACCAGCGGCCCAGCCCTCCTAGAGGTGGGAACTGGGGCCCAGGTGCCAGCTCTTCTAGGCGCAGCCTATGAAGTGTTTCCCTCTCCCTTCTCACAACCTCGGAGCTGTGGAGGAGGCTGGGGCCACTGACCTTGAGTCACATGTCCGGCGGCTTGGTCTTCCAGGTTTGGAGTGTCTCCAATGCCTGCTTCTTCAGCTGGTTTAGGCAACAGGGAGAAGACAAAAGCAAAGATAGTTACTGTGTGTTGGGCCCCAAGTTTCCTGCGTCTGCTGGTATCTTGCCACCAACCTACGCAGAGGAAGGTCCTCTGCAAAGCCCACAGCCTGGGACAGTAACCGGGCTGACGCTCCCTAAACGACACCCACAACACCTACGCGCCGTGCCAGCGACTGCGGTCTAGGAGGAGAGAGCTTTGGCTCCACCAAGATACCAGGGTAGGGAGGTCAGCGCGGCCGTTGCCACAAACTTGCCAGGCAGGCGCTCATGCTGCTGAGCTACTTTTCTGGCTCCCCCAGCTCTCTTCTAACCCAATCTATAACCCCTAAGGTTTCAGGAACTCAGAGAAGGAGATTTGGATAAGATCAGGGAAGGAAAGAAGGCCGGCGTCTGCACACAGGTATGCGGCGCAGCGCTGAATATGCCGCCGCCTAGAGGCCATCATGGGAGGGCAGCAGTGCGCCACCAGGCCACCCAGGGGCAGAGCGCGTTCCGGCAGCAGCGGCAGGTCCACGCCCAGACGCTACTGCTCAGCCTCATTTACTCATCTGGAGCCCCATGGAGCTGAGGCGTGTCTGTTTCCCAGGAGGACAACAGGGGAGTAAGAGAAGTGGGAGGGAGAAGGTGCTCGGCCTAACACCGGGTGGAAGCTAGGCGTCCCGAAGCTGGAAGCTCCTTCCCACCAACTCCCCCTAGCGGCACACGTGAAGCAAGCGCTGCCCGGCTGAAGAAGGTTGGTGATCCCAGAAACCAGGATATTTTGTGTGTGTGTGTGGGGGGGGGGGTGGTCCTTAGGCTCCTGCAAAGAGAACCCTGATCACCCCAAACAAAGGCAGTCCTAGCACCAGGTATTCATCCTGGAACACAGGAGAAATCAGGACAAGACAGTCATCCAAAGGTAGCACAGCTGAGGCGAGCTGGTGCGAACACCCCACCACCCTGAATGCCCAGCCTGCCTGAGAAGGGGCAGAGAGACCCAGCGGTTCAGTCTCTGCACTGACACTGATCCAGGGACCAGCGCTACCTGCCACAGCTGCCACGGAGAGTGCAACAGGGAAATGGTCCTCAGAGTCAGGCAGCTGTGCCGTGGCCGCCTAAGAACCCTGCTGTCAGCTGGGGGGGGGGAGCTGTCACGGGGTGGGAGTGGGCTCGGGAGTGCTGCGTACGCTAGGCCGCCAGTACAAACACCCCCTGGGTCCCTTGGAGCTGGCACTGTGCTGCTCAGGAGCTCTGAGAGCCACGCATCCTAGTCACTTGATGCAACAACGGACAGGCATTGGGCCAACAGCGTGGGAAGCGCAGCTCCAACACGGGTTTGGCTTGAGTTCTAGTCAAGGCTATGGACATGGAAGAAAGGCTCAGAGTGACAGTAAGTCCAGCTAAATGGCCACGGAGTCCTTGAGACAGTGTGCAGGAGAGAGGGCGTTCTGGGACCCTCTCACTGCATGGCTCAGGCGAGCAGACTCTCCCTCCTGCACCTGTGCAGAAATTCAACATCTTTGGCCTGATCTGAGGCAGAAATTAGAGTCTGGTGATACCTGACTGGGGCACAGAACGCATGGAGACAGCTGGCATGGCATCTCTAATGTCCTCTCCTACCCGGGGAGGACTCTGATCGCAGGACTCAGCATCTGGGCCTGCAGCCCTAGCAGTATATCGCTAGATGGGTCCACAGGCATTTCAGGATCGCACAGATGCGTGTGCTACAGTAAGGGGCCACACCAAGGCACAGAGCCACAAGTGATGGCCGGGAAACGCTTACCAACCCTAAAACCTCCTGCCACCCTGGGGACATCAAGGAGAAAGAAGGGCAGAGAATTCTTGAGGATGATTTTCTTGGGCCCAGTGGCTTCAAGGGTTGGGGAGGTTCCGTGGCCATCTCCCACCTCAGGCCCAGTGAAGTCTTCCCAGGCACCAGTCACATGGAGACATGTGGCCCGTGTGTGCCCTGGTGGGCTGCTGTCAGGGCCCATTTGGGCATGCTAGAGGACAGGAGAGGAGCTGGTCCTGCCTGGTGGCTGCTCCCCTGCCAGAAGGCTGTGTGCCTAGCTTGCTGGCCAGTGTTCTCATGGACCTGGCGTGGGCACATCACAGTTATGCCAGGTCATCAGCAGGACACCACTCTCAGCAGGAGAAGGAGCAGGGTCTTTAGACACCATGGACAGAGGAGAGGGGGCATGTGTGCTGGAACCCAGTGCAGAAGATCTTCAGGGGACAGGGATGGGGTGGGGGGGAAGAGATGCAGAAATCAGGGTCTCCCTGAGGCAGAGGTCACCTCTGAACACTTGCAGGGGTGGGGGCAGCTCACATCACCTCTCACTCACCTGCCACACAGCCCAGAATCAGGGGTCACTCCTCAGAATGAGGTCAGGAGACCCACCACACAGGACTGGCCACTCTGCCCCGCATTTACAGACCGTGCTTGCAAACATGGACACTAAGGTGGCTTTGATGACGCAGGAGCAATGGGAGCGTGAAGAGATGGCTGGGGCTTTCACCCGGAGGCAGAGGACACACTTTCCTGGGACTGCTAAGGGCCTGTGAGTTCACCCCAGAGGCTCTGTAGCCTTCCAAGGCCCTTCACAGTCAAGGCGGAGGCCCTTTCAGCTTCAAGGATTCAAATGTGGCCCTCACCCACTTCACTGCTGACCATCTTTCAAAGCAGAACTGCACTTTGGAGGAGCAAGGGTCCCCCACATGCCTGCAGAGGGCACTCCCAGTGCTAGGAAATGGAGCAATAGTTGCAGGCTTCCCAGTCACAGAGATACCTCCTGAAAAGAAAGAAACCCTGCCGGGCACCGCCACTGGTGGGAAATCCTGTACAGAGCAGTTCTCCCCCATCCTTTCTGGTTTTGGATGGATTCTTGCTATGTTGTCCAAGCTGGTCTCAAACCCACAGAGTCAAGCGATCTTCTCCCCTCAGCCTCCTGAGTAGCAGCTGGTACCGCTATACCCTGCTTCTGCATTTCTTACTAGGGAGCTGGGCACTCTGCAATTCATCACAGCTATAGGCCCAAGAAAGAGGTCCTGAAAGCAATGACCCTAGAGGCTCTGGGCCATGCCGGCCCTTTCTTGGGGATGGGGCAGGGTAGTTCTTGAGTGACTGGGCAGCCCCAAGCCTATGCTATTTCTGTTGGTGGCCTGTCATCACATGTTAGCAGCAGCCTCACATGCCTGCTCTAGAAAGAGGTCTGAAAGGCAGCATAATTTTAGAAATGGATACTAGATCACATTCCTGAACTCTCCAGGAACATCCCATGAAGACTCCCCAGTGTGACAGTCATCTGGGCCCTGTTGCATGCTTGGGTGCTTGTGGGAAAACTACTCTTTGTGGGTAATCAGGCACTGGGCAGTCTGAGCAGGAGGAGGACCGGCTTCAGGTGTGAGGGATGCAGGGATCTGCCACCACCTGCCTCAGAACACCCTGCAGAGTACTCTCTGGAGCTGATGCCCTGACTAAGGCAAGGAAGAAGGTTCCAGAAGAGTCTACAAAGCCCTAAGCCCCCTGAGAGGCTGGCAGGAAGCAGCTAGGCACCAAGACCCCCAACTTCTAACAACCCGGGACTGTTAGAAGCCAGTGCTGTCCATGCTCCTAGCTCACTGGGAAATGAGGGCGGCCCAATGTGGCCCCTCCCTGGGCCATCCCTGCCCTGCGGTCTCTGGGGGCTGCCCTCACCTGTGGTTCCTTCTGGGATTTCCACGTGGGGCTGGGCAGCAGCCTGTGCGCTGGGGGCTCTCTCATTCACTAAGGGTGCGGTCACTTCTGGAAACTACCAAGAGTCACCTCAGGGGGCTGGCTGGCCACCCAGTCTTGCCTTTGCTGTGTGTGCAAGGAGCAGTGGGGGGCGGAGGCAGGAGGGCACTGGCTGCATGCAGGAAAACACGGTGCCAAGCAGTCCCAGCACTGCTGCTGCCTGTCTCCCAGCAAGCGCGTAGAACACTGCTGGAGGGGCCCAGGCCACGGGACTCCAGCCCACCCGCCAGGACAGCCAGCTGTGTAGGCCCTGCGGGGAGACAGACCGACTGCGGGATGGTCCCAGCATTTCTAGACAGGAGCTGTGGACAGCCAAATGAGGATTCCCTGCTGTGGCCTCGAGGCAGTGCGTGAGCACAGCACTGGGGACTCTGCACACAGGGCCAGTGCCTGTGGCTTTGCACTGTGGCTTTCGCAAGTTTCTGTCCTCTTTGGCCCCAGTTCTCTCAGCTGCAAAATGAGAGTGCCATCCCAGGAGACCGCTGTGCTCTCTTCTGCCTCCAAGCCCTTGCTCCTCCAGTCTGTGGCCCCCGATTAAGAAGCACAGAGTCCCTACATGGCAACGACCAGGCCTGCCCAGAGCCGGGCACTAGACCACTAGAGGGGCCCAGCCTCATAGTAGAGGCAGGAGTAAGGATACCCTCCAGAGGCAGGGCCAGCATCCCCTCAAGGCCAACGCTCCCAGCCGTGGTCCCCCGATCCCCCGGCACATGGGCACACGGCAAGAGCTGCTGACTCTGCAGGACTCCCTGGACCCAGTGCCTGCGAGTTCAGTGAAGGTCCTGTAGCTCCTTCCTGCTGCCAGGGCCAAGGCGTGTGGGGCCCACCCATGCGCAGGTCGGGGCTGCAGTAAGACCAGGTGGGAGCTCCTGAAATGATGCTGATGGGAGGCTGGCATCAGATCTGTCTCAGTTTCAGGGCCTTCTTACGGCAGTAGGTCACTTGCAAAACTGTTCTAACCAGATAAGCAGGAAATGCCTGATGTCACCGGCTCCCAGAAGCAGAGCCAAGAGAGCTTTCCACGCTGAGGATCTTGGGGTAAGGACCATGCAGCGGCATCCTCCAGTGATGAGCCTTTATACGGAGCAACTGGCAGGCACCTGACAGCTGGTGGTGCTGGGCCAGGGTCTCAGCCTAGGACCCAATACTCCCAAGTCATGCACATGCCTGGAGAGGGGCAGAGACGGAGGGGCATACACCACGAACAGGCTACTCCAAACCTCTGCTCAATGCCCTTCTCCCTTGATTTCTTCTACTCATCAGGCTGAAAAGCACACTGCTCAATCTCCCAGCTTCCCTTGCAGCCGGGGGTGGCCCTAAGACCTAGTTGTCAGAAGGCCAATGAGATCCCAGTGGAAATCTGTCGGGTTTCACTCGCAGGTGCACTCTTGCTTTCCATTTATTTTGAGAGGGTCTCGCTGTGCAGTTCAGGCTGGCCTTGAACTCACTATGTAGCCCAGGCTGGCCTCCAACTTACAGTGATCCTCCTGCCTCAGCCTCCCGAGTGCTGGGATCACAGGCGTGCACCACCACGCCCAGCTGAACTTCTGCTTTCCGAATGAAAAGGTAACAGTCTGGCTTGGGTCACACTGACCACTCAGCTTCGCGGCTCGCTCTTGCTTAGGAGGCGGTGACCGTGTTGCAAGCACGAGGCAGCGATCCCGTCACTGGAGAAGACAGGGGCCCGCAGAAGAGCACCGATCGCGTGGGAAGCTGCGCGCGGCCCAGCCGTCTTATTATAGGACACAAATAGGTCTCTTCATGTGAACGTCCGTTAGCTGGGTTTTGTATTTCCAGCAGCCAAACGAAGCAGTCTCAACTGACACAGATGGGAGGCAAGAGAAGGTGATCAAAATCGGGACTAAGCAGCATTTCAAGAAATACGAGGTGGGGAGAAGTCAAGGCCATGCCTAGAGCCCGAGAAATGAGAAGCCCCAGTGTGGGCATGGAGACGCGCAGGACCACCCTTCCTCCGCCTCGCCGCTGCTTGGGGCCGAGTAGCCCTTGAAAGAAAAGCAAAGTAGGGGCTTTGGGTGGGCAGCGGAGGGCCATGGATGTGGGAGCAGCCTGCGCACGTGCCCTGCTTGGCCCCACGAGCCAGCCTCTGCGAGTACACCTAGGGCGGAGGCGCCCACGCTTGGCACTGCGGCCCTCGGCACCAAAGCAGGCCAGCGCGCGAGACCACGCGCTGTAAAGCTCGGCCTGAGCACGCATCTCAGCCAGCGAGAGGAAGCAGCCGGGCAGCCAGCGGGGCGGCGCTGTGTGGGGCGGGGAAAGGGAGGCTGGAGGACAGCTAAGCCAGGCTGCGGTGGGGTGTGGGCGTCGGGGGCAGTGGGGAGGGGGCCCCACCTTCGGCCGTCGGAGTGCTCTTAGCATCAGAGGTCTCAGAGCCTGGTTCCTCGGATCCGTCATCAGCAGGAGTCTGCGGGGGAGACTCTGGAACATACACAACGAAGCCCTCAGGTTGGCTGCCTCTGCCCAGACTGCTCTGGCTCTCGGGGGGCTTGTGAACAGGGCCTTTGGAGCTGCAACGCCCTCAGCACGAGCCCCTGGCCTCAGAGGGGCCCAACGCCCTCCCCTCTAATGTCCCCACACGAGAATCACTGGACAAGGGTGAAGAGGATGCACGTGTGCTCCTGGTTCAGAATAGGTCACCCCAGTTCTTTTTTTTTTTTTTTTTTTTTTACTATTTCTTAGGGTTTTTTTAAATTATTTATTTATTTATTTATTACATTTATTTATTGTGTGTGTGTGTGTGTGGCCAGCTCAGCCCACCAGGGGGGCGGGGCTGGCTGGCATGTGGTGCTGGGGGATCGAACCGCAGTCCCTGTGCTTTGCCAAGCTTGTTTCAAGTAGGTGCTTTAGACCACTGAGCCATCTCTCCAGCCCAGTCACCCCAGTTCTAAGGGAAGCACAAGTCCTTAGGGTGACAAACAGGCAGTGAATACCAGCAAGCTGAGCCACGCATGAACTTGTTATTAATTAAGGCCAAGTGGACACCTGGAAAAAGCCCCTGACACCCAATTCCTGTCCTCCAAGACGCCTGCTCCGAACGTGAACAGGGCTGCGTCTGACGTTTACCAGACCCTTCCTCAGGAAGCTCTCCAAGGGTGGCTACGTTGAGCCTCAGCCACAGGGCCTGCAAGAAAACTGTCCTTTCAGAATCCGAAGCCTGACTCAGAGGGCCAGAACCCAGTGGCCCAGAGCCACAGCTTCCATGATGAACACCCTTGGTATTCACGGAGGACTCGTTCTCCCGAGTGGCACCCTGGCCCTGGAAGTCAGTCTGCCCCGGTCATCGTATGTGCTTCACCCAGCATCTAGGGCCAGGTAAACCAGGGCCTTTAAATGAGGGCGGGCATGACTTGTAGAGAGCCCTGAGCCCAGAGTCAAGCGCTGGCTCCTGGGAGGAAGCCGGGCATGCAGAGGAGCATCTGCTTCCAGCAGCAGCCTAGGGAAGGCAGAGGAAGCCGCAAAGAGCAAAAGCCCAGGGTCCATGAGCCCAGGGAAGCTGAGAGGGCCCTGCGGTCTCCCAGGGGGGTGGGAACTATAGGCTAGGGTGCTGGACCAGCAGCCAAGGTGTCTGCACTCCTGGGCTTGCCTCACTGATAAAGTAGGTGGATGCCAGGGACTCTGCCGGCCTCCCCCTAGAGCTGTGGAGCCCTGCTGGGAGGCTCTGAGTGAAGAAGCACTTTGCAGACCCCAAGGATTTACGCTTACAGATCTGCTTCCACAGGAAGGAGCCAAGTGTTTATGGGCAACACTGGGCTTCTCCCTTCAGCTGAGCTGTGCCCAGATGCTCAGGGGACCAGGACAGTGAGCCACAGCTCAAGCCACGATGGGTGGATGGATCGCGGGGCACAGGACTGGCGGATGACTAGGCGGGGGGCGGGAGGCGGGAGGCATGGGTAGATGGGTGGAGTGCTGGACGGCTGGGGGTGCATTAGATTGATGTTAGGATGGACACATGGGTGGAAGCACAGGGGGCTCCTGCCACAGCTGCGAAGCCCTCTGCTGAGACACCCTGCCCACCGACTCCTCCTCATCTTCTGACCCTGGTCCTCTGTGCCCAGAAAGCCCTTGAGCTTCCTAGTGGCATCTCGGCCATCAGGCCCTTAGTTTTCAGCTCAGTGGCCTTACTCATTTCCATGTGGCAGGAATTCCCTACTTTAAGGGCATTTGCTGGCTGAATGGGCTTCTACTGTTGCCCGACTGTTCTACTTGGGCTTAGACTGAAATCTGGGTAGCAGAGAAGCAGTGGATCCCTGCCTCTGGAGTCAGGTAGATGGGGCCCAAATCTGCCATCTGCCAGCAGTGTGGCTCCAACTCAGGTATTGACTTTTTTCTGCCTCAGTTTTCTCTTCTGTAAAATGGGCACAACAGCAGTTCCACCCACTCATGGGGCTTCTGTGAGCATGACACTGATTCAAAGTATTTCGTGTGTGCTAGGCCTGGACGTGCGAGGTTCTCAGTGAGGTGTGGTGATGCCCATCACTGTCTGCATCCCACCTTGCCTACAGGGCCCCAAGCAGCACAGTGAATCACTAGGAACCTGAGTGTTGGGTTTTTTTAGGGTGCTGATGATGGCCAAGAATTCCTAGGGCTTTGTTAGACAGCGGGCCCTTGTGTCAGACGGAAGAATAGCAGGTGAGATCCAGCAGCACTCCTTGGCCTCAGCCTGGGGTACTCAGGGACTCCAGCCATCCTCTGTGCACACACCTGCTCTATGACACAGACTGTTCTCCTCAGAGTCCACCTCCTTGCAAGCAGAGTCCTGGCCTGGCAGCTGCGCCCATTAAGGCCACCTCTTCCAGGTTCCTGGCCCTGCAGCTGCTAAATGCCAGGGGAATCTCTGGACAGGACACTTGGGGGAAGGGCCTTCTGGAAGGTGCCTAGTGAGGACGGGCTCCCATTGTGTCCATCTCTGGCCTCCTTCCCAGTGGCCAGGAGACACCTTGAGGGCAGAAGCCACGTGCTCAGGGCGGCGGGTTTATCAACTATATGAAAAAGGAAAGGCTATTCTCTGCTTGAGGCTGTACAAAAACAGTGAAGGGACCAGATCTGTCTGCAGACTGGGGCTGGCTGGCTGACCTTAAGAAAGGGCTCCTGCACCTTGATGGATTACAAGAAGAGAAGAGCCCACAGAAGCCACTGGTTACTATGTGTGTTCTGTGGCTACGAAGCCTAGACTGGGTGAGGAGTAGGGGGGCATCTCCAGGCACCGCTACAACTGTGATGGATCAGCTGATGGTGGTGTCACCCCCAGCCACGTGGAGACAGGAAAGGCCGGAATGGAGGCGTCTGTGCATGGGCTGGACCCAGCAGGCTGTGGTGTGATGGCCCATTTAGGGGAGACCAGTGCTGCGTCTCGGCTAACAGGGGCCTCCGGGGACTGAGCAGTTTCAGTATGGCAAGGGCTGCTTCCGATGCATAAAGCAGAATGCAAAGGTGGAAGGAAAGAGGCGAGTGGAGCTCACGGAGTGCACAGCCTTGGCACTAGTGCTGGCCCTGCATGGTGGCCTTGGCAGGGGCCACTCCACTGAAGAATGGCTCATCCGAAGCAAGCGCCCAGCATGTGCAGGACTCCTGGGTCCTGGAGCTTGTAAGAACCTGCAGGGTTCAGTCAATGGTGAGGCGACAGGCTGCAGACCACCTCGGATCTCGTCAGCAGCCAGCCTGGCTACCGGGAAGAATGCATCACACCTGTGTGTGTGGGCACCCTGCCCCAACGTGCCTGCAGCCACCTGCACCACTCTTGTTAAATTCCTTGGGAGGAGGAAGGGGGGGGGCAGAAGCCTCATTTGAATGTCTCACTGGGCAGCTAAAACAAGTCCATCAATCAGCACCTTTTAATGCACCAGGGTGTTATTTTACCAGCTAACAACTTTCACCCGCTTTGTAGGGCTCCAGCCCTCCTCCAAATTTTAACAGCCAGTCAGCTACTCTTTGTCCTGTTTTTTCCCTCTTTGGTACCAGGAATCCATCTCAGGACCTTGGGCTTGTCAGGCAGGCGCTGTGCCACTGAGCTGCATCTCCAGCCCTTTGTCACGGTGTTTAACAGGTAGTTTCTTGTCATTATTCAAGAGTCTTTTGTCACTTTTCTAAACTGTTGTGTGAGTACAGTGACACCTTCTGCCTCCTTACATTGTCACTCTGCACACGAAAACAGCTCATTCTAAGCCCTTGGAAGCGAGGACAAGCTTGCTGGCATCCGTGGCAGCCTCCGTGCCTCGGGCTTGCTGGGCAAGCCGGCCGGCCCCAAATGCTTCCCGGCAGCAGCTTCCAGAAGGCTAGCAGTGTAAGCACTGCAGCGAGCCTGCGTGCGTGCGTGCGTGCGTGCGTGCGTGCGTGTGCCTGTGTATTAGTGTACAGCTTGTCATGCTTTGCGTTGAAGAACTGAATAATGGTTTGAACAAACATACTTCAGGCTACGTTGAACCCTAAAGTACTTGGTGAGCTTATTCTTACTTTTCCAAATTAAACTGATTTAAAAAGAGTGGTGAAAACCACAATTACCTTTGGCTATTTTAAATGGACTTGCAATTTTACGAAAGTTTTAGATTTATTGGAAAAAATGTGAAGGTAGCAGAGAGGGTCCCTCCCAGACCAGCTTCCTCTGTTACCAACATGCGACACTATTACAGTACCTTGGTTGCGATACCAGATACTGTTCATTGGTGCTGGGGTAGAACCCAGGGCCCTTGCACAGAGCCACCTCCCCAGCCCTTTTCAGTTTTTATTCTGGGACAAGGTCTCAGAAAATAGCTAAACGGCAGGGGCTAGCCTCCAATTTGGCAACCTCTTGCCTTGGGCTAGGGTTAGAGGGTGTGTGGCCACCACGCCCAGCTTAACTTAGTATTAGACCACCCGTCCTGCCTCGACACTGCATCTGTCATGGGTATAATTCAGTATGTGAGGAATTCACTCCGAAAGCAGTCTGCTGTGATTCTAACACCTGCGGGGGTTTAGCTGACATTATTAACCATTTCTGAGCTCCAGCTAGTGATGACCATGGGCAGGGACACCTGGCTGGAGCCTGTACCCCCAGCTCTGAGTCTCGCAGGGCCCCGGTCTCCTCTGCCTCCTGCCTTTGGACCCCCTTTCTAGTCCCCAAATGCCACTTAGTCCCATACCTTCCTGCTTTCAGAGAGGGGAGCCAGCCTCTGAAGCTGGACCCTAGTCAGTCCCAAACCCCAGGGGAGCCAGGGGACAGTTGTTCGATGAGCAGGAGAGCTGCTGGCTCCTGCTTCTCACACCCAGGACACCCTTGGGGTGCTCCCTGTTCAGCTGGCAATGCCACTTTCCTCTTAAGGTTCGGTTTCCACCCACCGCCCACACTCTGGCTGTGAGCGTTTATTTTTAGCATTAAAACAGAAAAGGAGGCTGTCCCGATTCCAGCATCTTAGAAGTGGGGCCACATGGAGAGCTGCACAGGGAGGGGACACCGCAAATATGGCTCGCTCCCTCCTGCGCAGGCCAACCACCCAGGGACAGCTCAGAGACCCAGCCCAAGGGAGGGGCAGAGACAGGGGTGTGCAGGGGGCCCTACTGTGAAGTGAACATGCACACTGGGAGGGTCAGGCCGCAGGGCCGGCCGGGTGGAGACTGTGACAGTGATACCAACCTCCTCCTGCCGGATGGAGGATGGACAAGCCTGACTTAGGAAGGGATGAGAAGCGGTGGATAAAGCCAAGGCTTTTACACGCTGATAAACACTCCCTATGCACAGGCTAACAGCAGTGGTAAGGACCCCAGGAGTGTCCTGTGTCTTGGAGGGTGACAGGCCCAGCAATCTTTTTTTTTTTTTTTTAAATTGGGAATCGAACTTAGGACCTTGCTCTTGCCAGACAGGCTCTGTGCCACTGAGCTGCAGCCCCGGCCCCGCCCTGAACTGTGTCACACTGTGTCCACTCTGGTGAGCTCTCCTGTGGAAAGGTCAGTCTTCAAACAACCTCCTGTTTGAGTTGTTTTGGCTCTTTTAAATGAATGAGACTCTATTCTGTCTATAGCCTAGCACCACGGGGTATGGAAGGGCACTGCAGAAGTCAGGGTGCGAACCCTTCTTGCCACCCCATGCCCGGTGAAGTGCGTGGCGGCTGTGACCCTTGAGGTGTCCACTAACCTTTCAGGCCGGGCTCTGTGTCCCCGTCCTGGTCTTGGAGCAGGGTGTAGTCTCCAGCGTGATCTTCTGTCGTGTCAAATTCCTGGCGGGGCTCAGCCATCCTAGTTTAGGCTCACCTGGGGAAAGAAGGTGGGAGGTGAGGGGTGGGCCAGATGCTGGGCCAGGGGCCTGGATGTCCCAGGAATGCAGGGGTGGGCGGGGCAGGGGGAAGGAGCCCCCTCTGGGCCACAGTCTCCCACGCTCTGGTGCACCCAGCGGATGCGCCCTCTGCCTGCCCAAGGAGCACGACAGCACTCCGCAACCAAGAGCCCATCAGAGAAGGCACACGAAGGCCAGGCAGGCCTGACCTCCTCCTCCCCTTCACCAGAAAGTGAGCCATTGACCACGTTTAATTTTCTTTCACTAGTAGTGCTGGGCCAGGGCCCAGGGTCTGTCACCTGCTAAGCAAGTGCACCACAGAACTACACCCTTCCCACACCTCAGGCTGCCTTGGCACAGGGCCCCTGCTGTGACAATGTCCTGAGGGCTCTGGGTTCCCACCACACACACGATGGCGCCTGGCCTCCAAAGCCAGGACAGCCACAGGGGTGGTGTCCCTGGGGGCTGCTAGCGGAGGTCTCCAAGAAGCCTTCTCTGATGCGACCCCTCAGAGAACCTCTCACTCAGTAAACCCTAAAAGAAGCCAGGGGAGGGACGGGGGAGATGGCTCAGTACAGTAAGCGCTTCCTTGGCAAGCTCAAGAGCCTGAGTTCAATCCCTGGTTCTGCCAAAACAAAACAAAACCAACCAACCAACCAACCAACCAAACAAACAAACAAAAAAAGCTTTGGGCCGGGGAGATAGCTCAGTAGAATAAGCGCTTCCCTGGCAAGCACAAGGGCCTGAGTTCAATCCCCTTTTCTGGGGGGAAAAGAAAAAAAGCCGGGGGAGTGCGGGAGGCTGCCAGCTCTCAGCTCTGCAGGTCAGGGCACCTGTCTGGGGCTGCTCACTGTTGACACCAAGGGAGCCCGGGAGGCACGAGAACACAGGGGCCCAGAACACAGCAGCTGGCCACATCTTGCTGCTTGTGGAGGCCCCCCAGCCTGTCCTCCGTGGAGGCTCCAAGGACAGGCTTGCTGAGCACGATGTCTCCTCCTGGCCACCTCGTCCTGCCATTCCTGGCCCATGCACACACGACCCCACCAACCAGCCTCTTCCTGTGCAGAGAGGGAGAAAGGCCAGGTGGCAGGCCTGCCCCACAGGCTCTTATCTCTGACCCCTAGCAGCCTCTGTTACTCTGGAATGTCTAGACAGTTCTTCAGAGACAAAGCAGGATAGAGTGGAAGGAGGGTTTGTGCAAAGTGAGCTGTGCTCCTTTCTGAGTGGGTTCTGCTGTCAGATGCATCCATTCCCCTCTGCAGGTGGGATCAGAGATGGGGCTCCCAGCACCCTTCCTGCACCCATCTGGACCTCCATCAGTGGCAGAGGGGTGCGCTATGGTGCGTGGTGGCTGCTCCTCAGTGGGCTCACAGCGTCTGGAGGGGTTGGGGAGGCCAGCCTGAGCTCTGCGCAAGGCAGCCCCAGCTGGGTGAGGGGTAGAGATGTTGGGGGTGGGGGACCCATAGTTAGAGTGTAGGCAGCAGGGAGGGAAGAAAGGGGCAGACTGAAGAAGTGTCCTCGATCACATGGTGGACTGGGCTTCAGCTTGGGCTGGGGTCTGGCAGGGAGATTAAGATCTAATAGTATGCTGGCTTCCGGGGACGTGGCTCAGTGGTACAGAAACTGCCAGGCATGTGCAAGGTCCTGAATTCGATTCCCGGTACCAAAAATAATAAAAAAAAAAGTATGCGGGATATGGCAGTGCCCATATGCCAGCACCAAGAGAGGCTGAGGCAGGCAGGTCACAAGCTTCAGCCCAAGCTGGGCAACTTATCAACTTACCCTGTGTCAAAATAAAAAGTAAAAATGGGCTGTGGATGTAGCTTGTGGTTCATAGGAATGCCCTGAGTTCAGGCTGTGCACACGTGTGTGTACACACACACACACACACACACGACCCACGGATACACCAGAGGTGGATGCTCAGGAGGACCACAGCCAAAGAGCACCTGCAGAAGGAAGGGGGCTAGGCACCAGGGTGGGTTCTGTTTAGAAAGATCCTTGCTTGAAAGAACTCTCGCCACTGTGCTTACCTGTTATTTCACTTAATGAGCTCTAAAAAGTATAATCTACTAGTCCCCTTGACTTCCATTATCATTTTAAATTTTTATGAGTCTTTATTTTCATGGTTTGTTCAAGATTGTTCTAGCTTCAGGTCAGCAACATGTGCTGTCAAGGGCCAGGCAGAGCATACTAGGCTCACAGCCTGTCTTCTAGGGACCCCTCCGCGCTGTCCCTTTGGGACTGAGAGTCAGAAGTGCTCACAGGAAGCTGAGTGGACTATCGGGGCTAGAGCAGGAGTCAAACCCTCCTTAAACACAGGCTATCATTTCTACATGAAGTAAGTGAACTGCCTACATCCCAAAGGCCGTATTTTTCTTTAGGGTAAATGTGGAATGTATGGAAGGAAGTTGCCCAGCAGCCACACCCGCCCTGCCCTGGACAGCAACCGCCTGAGGTTTCCAGCTCTGACTTCCATGCTTGCCAGGCTGCCCTGGGTCAATTGTCTGTGTGCACATTTTGGAGCCCACGTACCATGTTAGAAAGATAAGCCTCATTCCGGAGCACCCAGCAAGCCACAGGAAGGAAGCAGAAGCCAGAGAGGAGTGGTCCCAGGGAGCACATGGAAGCGGCACTTCTTCCTAGCCTAAGCCTGCAAGCTGTGTGTGTGTGTGTGTGTGTGTGTGTGTGTGTGTGTGTGTGTGTGTCCCGCTGGCTCCCCGCGGCACCTCACAGGCACCCCAAGAGCACACAACATCCTCTGAGGCAGGTATCTTCGGGCTCCTTCTCCTCACCGCAGGTATTACGTGTCCTGGTCAGCAGGGACCCTAAGCTGCCCCTCACAACCTCCTACTTCACCCTGGGCCATGAGCCAGTCTTCAACTTCCCGCCTAGGGCATCAGGGCCTGCGACCAGGAGGTGGAAGGTCCTTCATCCCCCAACTATCAATCTGGGACCCTTGCCCTCCCTTCCTACCCTGCCGTTTTGTCCTAAGTGGGCCCACGCAGCCTGTGTCCTCTGTTCAGGATCCTTGGAGTCCAGCGATGGGACAGCAGGAGGTCTCCAGCCCAGGCCAGGCCAAGGGGCAGGTGGCCCTGACCTCTGGGCACAGCAGAGCACTTGGGGCACATGGGCTCCTGGCTCTTCCGGGAAGCCAAGGGCAGGTGAGTTCTTTGGGAGAACTGATGAAGGACAAAGCCAACTGGCAGGTGGCAGAGCTGCACACTGCAGACTTGAGACGTAGGCAGAGAGGGTGCAGTGAAGCTGAGGCCTGGCCCTGAGGAAGCACCCAGCCTGGACCAGACGTGTCATCACGCCGTAGACCCTGTAATCTCAGCAAGTCGCGCAGACAGGGAACAAACACATCAAGCAGCTTTCCTTGCCCACTTTCCCACTTTTCTTATCCTTCCCAGCCTCAGCCTCTGCGACTGTCTCGAGGTGTCTCTCAGTCTCTCTACTTCTGTCTGTCCCTGTCCCATTCTCTCTCTTATTTCCTATCTCCTATTTGCCCATGCTGTGGCTCAGAGGCAGTGAGAGAAAAGGAATGCATTTTAGAGGAGGCATAAAAATTGGGTTAAACTGGAAAATAAAACAGGCCATTCTTAAGGAACCCTTGGGAAAGGACGGCCTCCTGATGAGAAAACCAGGACCAGAGTGTCTTAGATTATTCTGTCCCTGTCATACTGTAGAGAAGCTGGGGCCTCAGGTTGTAAGCCACTTTTAGGCCTACAGATCCCTCCCCCTAAGCCTTGCCCACTTCGGAGCAGAGGAAGAAAGAAGCACCTGCAGGTGGACAGCAGGGACGCAGAGAGGACAGGGCACCGGTGACAGGGCGGGGGTGAAGACAAGCACGCACGGGCAGGAGGGGCACCGCATGTGCAGATCCTGGCACCAAGCCACGCTGCTATCAGTCTTTTTTTTAACTTTTTTTGGGTTAAGTAAACTTCATGTTGCATAAAATGAACCATTTTAGAGTGAGATGAACCAATTTTAAGTGGGACTTAGAAACACAATGTTACTCAACCATCGCCTATAATTTTAAAACATTTTTACCATCCCCAAAAGAAACCTATACCCAACCCCTCAGCTCTTCTCTGGCTCTGAATTTGCCTCTGCTATGATTCCGCAGTCACACAGGAGGTGAATAAATAAGCCACTAGTGTCTTTTACGTTGTCCACATCCCCCGGGTGGCAAATAGGTCCCTGCTTCAAGCCTCAAGTGACATCGCACTGCACGGATTTGCCACACCTGTTCCCCCAAGGCGAGAGTGAACACAGGACTTTCTCTAGTAACTCTCCTGAGAATGGAGGAAAGCAGGTGAAGGAGCAGGTGCGGTGCAGAGGTGGGCTGGGAGGACGGGGGGGGGGGGCGTCCTCAGCGTCCTCCTTGCGGTGCAAGGCTGTTGTGAGACCCTGGGGCCCCTCTGCTCTCCAAGGGCGGGGTCTCTCAAGGCTGGAGGATGGGCGGAGCTCACATTTCCTGCCTGGGACGTACCCACGCTCCAGGGGCACGCAGGGAGCGCTGAGCACGCAGGGCCTGAGCACCCCCCACCCCCGTGACACCACTCTCGAGCCCCACCCCCGACACCCATGCAGCAGGCCTCCACCCTGCGCGCGGCTCCCACATCTCTGATTCGCTGCCCCACCACGCCTTCCCTTCTCAGCAAGTCTCTGCCACAGTGGTGGGGTGCCCGGACCCCAAAGGGTACCCCAGTCTGTGCGCCCCCACAACGGAAACTCGTCCTCCAGGGCCGGAGGAGGGAGGATTGCACGGCCTCTGCCCCCGCCGGTCCTCTTGCTCCCGCCATCCGGACAGAGCACTTCGGGGATGCGGCGTCCGGCTCCTTCGGCTGCCCAACATCTTCTTGGCCGTTGCATTATTAACAGCGTCCACAGTTCAGCGCCAGTCGCGGAGTCTTTGGCCCGGCCCGCCGCGTCCCGGGCTCGCGAGGGGGCGCCGCACACCCGCCCGCCCGAC